CCAGGAGGTGAACCCTGGGGTTCCACACCAATGACAGAGACATTGCCTCTAGGCCAAAGCGCCACCAAGCTATAGTTGTTGTTCTCAATGTTTGATCCTGAAAACTTCGACCAATATCAGACCATACAATGCTGATTGGTCTGTCCCTAACGATTCTCATTCCGTTTCTGTGTGTGTGTGTGTGCTGGCGTTTGTGTCTATCCATCTCTACCTGGAGGCCAGCAGCTGCGTGTTCCTCAGGTCCAGCACGACATACAGAAAGTAGTGGCTCCTGAAGACACGCCTCTGCAGCAACAGGAAACAGAAACAGACACCATCCCAGATGATTCCCGCCTCGTCATTAGGCAAGTCACATTGTTTACTGTACTGTTGTTCCGCTGGAAGGGATAGACAGACGCACGGGTGAGAAACAGAAAGGTGGGAAAGGCGGAGAAGGTACACAGGCGGAACAGGAAGATGTCTTACGCTTTGTGTATCCCTTGATGGTGCACGCCAGGCTGAAGAGCTGAATCAGCCAACAGTGATTTAACACTAAAGATTTAATAAAACCACAGGCCAGAATCTGTCAGGGAGAGACAGAGAGAGAGAGAAGACTCAGTCACACAGAAGTCAAAGTTAGCACATTAGCTGCATTAGTTACAATTGTTGTCCAGGATTGACACTGTGCAGTTTCAACTCCTGACGCTAGCACTACTGCCACTTCATACGGTATACTCTGCGCACAGACACTACACTCATGGGGGCATAGAATTAGGTAGGGACGCTAGGGACATGTCCCAAGCGATATCCACCTACTACTGTGTAGTCCGGGTGTATGCGGGAGCAGATAGATGGAGCGTTCATGTGGACTAAGATGTAAAAGTCATGAATAAACGCTAAAATGCCAAAATGCTTTTATCATTTTTTATGCCACCTACTGGGGAAACGTGGGGATTGCAGTCTAACGTATACGCGTTTGGCATGAAACTGCTTAAAAAATAACGCGCGCTCGATCCCATTCTGAACAAAACCGGGCACTGAGCAACAGAAGTATACTTGTCGGCTTCAACTATCTGTGTATTAGTCAATTAAGTTTGATTGTAAAAACGGCATAAGAGCCGTGGCTAGATGGGAAGACTGTTTCAAACTGTTTGTGCGCAGCAATCGTATATATATCTGACAGAAGAGACACTTACTGACAAAATGTTCTTCATGGTGATGACAAACACGTTGTATCCAATCAAACAGTCCCAGTAAAGCAGGATGGATTTGACCGGTTTTAGCAGCAAGTCTCCGCCCACCAACAGGAAGTAGAAACAGGCAACCAGGTAACCCATGCAGAAGATACTGATCCTGGAAAAGCAGTACATGACTGTTTTGTTCAAATGGAACTGAAAAAAAAAAACCCATTATATTCAGCGAGCCATTTCTCATTTGGCATAGGCACGGCCCTACTCACCTTGTGGTTCCTGTGATGAAGATGATGGTGAGCACAAACCAGAACATGTAGCTGAAGATGATGACCTTAATCATGTCAAGGTACGACCTAAAGATAAAAAGGAAATAAAAAGACAAAAACTGATAAACATTGTGGCCATTAGACAGAGTCAGACAGACAGGTTAACTAGGTCACATTAAAAAATGATACGTCATTAAGTTTGGTGTCAGGGGGACAGAGGGACAGACGTAAGTGGATTACCCTCATCAAATTAACAAAAAACCCACTCAATCCACAGACAAGTAGGTCAAGACGACGTGGTTCAGAAAGATGTGTTCATGTTATAAAGACGCATGTAAACAGGTCTAAACCAAAACCAAAAGTACCCTACGACATTTAAGGTCTTTAATGATAAAGTTAAATCTCTAAGACACAGCAACACACATTAGAAAATATCCTGTAACTAATCCTCAATCCCCCCCCCATGAACCATTTTCAAAGAATTTGGTCTTGAGAATATCAGCGTCTTCTGTTTCTTAAGTTTCCTTTGCGCTGCTTTCATTGGAATGTACCAATGTAAAATGGAAGCAGCACAAAGCAGTACTCAACTCAGAGGATTTAGGTCTACTGGTAAAGACCAAGGAGCAAATCTTCAAATTATACTGAACAATTTAATGTATTAGTTCAGTGTTTTTCAAGGGGCAGGCCGCTCATGGTGGGCAGATTGGGGGGGCCTTGGCATGGAAAACACTAACATAATAGCACAATCCTAATAGGTCACCACTACTAGCATGTCAGCTAACATGCTAGATTCGAGGTGTGAATGGTGAATTTAATATATTCCTCATTTATCACCCTAAACTAGTGTTTTTGGGGTTTTTTTTTTTTTTACCTTAAGGTCACCTGGAATTCAAATGGGGTTGTCTGAAATGTCTATTAATTGATAAATAAATATATATATATGTAATATACATATATGTATTAAAATATATAATAAAAACGTTTATATGTATAAATAAATATAAACCTATAGGTATGTATGTGCGTACAATAGTAGCTGTTATGAAGGTATTGCACATGGTTATTGTGTATATTTATTGTGGATATTATGTCGAACGTGGTGACTTGAGACAGACAATAATAATACGCAAAAGACACGACAAAGCTGAGACGGAAGCATTGTGACACTTTTCATCTTCCGAATCTTCAATATGGCCAGTTTGAGTAGCTGTAATAGTTCTTTTTCGGGATTCATTGTTTGAGAGATTGTTCGTTCGGTATTCATTTTCAGCCTTGTGCAGACAAGCTTACCTAGCTGTACATGTGATCAGGGGAAATAAAAAATGTAACTCTGTGCACTAATTTGGCAACTTTGTATTTGCCACACAGTATGACAAACTGGATTATACCAATACGGGGGGGTCCTCGACCTATGTCGGGGTTCGATCCTACCAACGACCTAACCCAATCTTTACCGTAAGTGGTAACGTATGGACACTAACATATTACATATCGAATTACCTACCTGAACCTGTTAGCCAAGAAACAATTGCTTTTACATGGAGTTAGTCCCAACAAATAGCAATGAAGACCACAAAATAAAATGAATGGTTGTGAGCCATAATGAAGGGCAAAAAAAGGTTTAAAAAATATGGCGAACCACCAACAAATGTAAACAGAGACGTCGTCTTCGTCAGAATGGGGAACATTGTCTTAATATATTTGTATATATATATATATATAGTGGCGCTTTGGCCCAGAGGCAATGTCTCTGTCATTGGTGTGGAACCCCAGGGTTCACCTCCTGGGCAAGTTCAAGTCCCGATTAGGGCGGTTGGTACCTTCCAGTGGACTCACCACCCGCAGGAAGGTTTGGTACGGTGCAATGTGATTTGGGTGGCGACTGGTATGTTTGTAAAACACTGAACAGAGGTTTAAAATACTATACCACCTACAGGCCAAGTAGGTGAAACTACACGCTTAATGCATAGTTGCCTAATAAAAAGTGACGTACAGGAAAAATAACAAGCTGGTTAACTAAACCGTTGAATAAACTGAAAAAGGTTCAGGGCAAATACAGCGGTCCCTCTCCTATCGTCGTAGTTGCGTTCAGAGACCCATCACAAAAAGGGAAAATCCACGAGGTAGAGGCGAGATAGTTATTATATTATTTACGTATATATTTACACTTTACGAACCTCCCCCCCCACACTGATATCAACCCTGTATTACCCTTTCCCACACAATTATATTCACAGCAGAGTTGTTTAATGGAAATATAAGACATACATATTACGTAAATAAATTAAATACACATTGTGGGGGCCGCGGCTGAGGTTAGCGCTCAGCTGCAGGAGGGAGAGCACGGGAGTGGCGATGTCTTTTAGGTTATTTTTATAGTTTTAGTGTTTAAAAGTTAGAAAATGCTTTGATCACGAAAATAATGAAAATGTTGAAAATAATAATAATAAAAAATTACCGTGAAATACCATGACACTCTTGTATTCTCGTGATTGGAATAAAAGGAGAACCGGGATATAGAGAGGAAACACTGTATAATCAAAGTCATTGTGACCAGAGAGCGACAAGGAAACACAAAGAAGTATTTGTGGAAGTTTGTCGTGGACAGGAAGATAAAGGAGTAGCAGGAAAGGGCCGGAAACTGACAAACTCTGGGTCATGAACACTTGGGAGGAACAGTAGTCACAGGGGCAGTAACACAGTCAGACAGGAAGTAGAGAGCATTAACGGGAAATGTAAGGTGAAAAGACAAAAAAAAAAAAAAAAAAAAGACAAGACACCATTAATGAGAGATCAATCAGAGAGTAAACTAGTTTTACCTGCAAAGCATGAAATCAGGGATTTTGTTAAGGCGCAGTTGTGCGATAACGTCACTGATCTGTCCATCCTCTTTGTCCAGCTCACTGTTGTCTCCTGCGAGAACTTGAACTGGTGACTTCAATTCGTCCTCAAACACCTGAAGCTGCAGTGAGGCACCGAGCAGGAGCAGGAAGTCATCTGAAACGAAGCAGGGAAAAAAAAAAAAAACTCATCGAAATGAACCTCCGGCTTTAATTAATACGTCATTGTCAATATTATTATGTGGCGACTGAGGTGGCGCTGGTGTCATACACAGGAGGAAAAGTGGATTTGGTGGACTCATATGATCAGGGAGAAACAGCCATTTCACAACGTTGGAGTCAAGGTTTGAGAATGGAGGTCTCCATGGATAATCTGCAACAAACACATATATATTTATATTTTTAATATTATTGTATTTATTGAATTATTTTTCCTTTTTGAATACAAAACTGTTGCATCCTTTTATCTTTTATAAATGTATTGCGAAAGGCTGATCCATACAGAAACAAATTCTCAAATACTGGATATGCATTGATGAACAAGGCTGAAACGTGTTCTCTATCTTTTATACATTTATTGCGCAAAGGCTGGATTTGTATTGATGAACAAGGCTGAAACGTGTTCTGTAAAAATCAAAATCGAACGCTCATAAAAATTGTGTTTGTACCTTTACAAGCAGCGGGAGGAAATCCAATGCACAGTACGTACTGGAAACACAACAAAGCTGACAGGAAGTAGCAATATCTAGGCCACAGTGCAGATATGCGCTTTCTGCTGCGTCGTGACAAGACTGTAATAAGGCCAAAAGCGTGGGCTACAGCAAAAAGATCCATGCGCTGACCAATCACGTTGATAGCCAGCAAGAAGCAGGTCTAAGAAAAAAAAAACAATGTAAAATGTCAATTGTTAATGAATTCGTGGTTTGCTTTGCTACTAGCCGTGTGCATTCATCTTACCTCCAGTCCAAACTTGTAGAAGAAGTAGTTGAGGAAGTATTTTACGCAGCTTAACATGTTGTCATCCAAATGCTGCCGGGTGACATCCTGAAAGAGTGATCTGGTGGGGGGGAGTACTATTTTATGCCGTAGACGATAGAGCTCCTGATGTCGGTAAATCGTCACCTCAAATGCCAACAGTGCTAGCAACATTATGTTGTGCTGTCGAGACAAAGCACGTGTGTACATCAAGACGAGGCCTCGCCCAAAGCCGTCGGGAAAATTGACACACTGAGGGTAAATTATAAATATATTATCGTCTAATCACTCACAATATTGTAGCGTCCCTCAATGCAAAATGATGATATTGCCAAGTGTTACTGACCCAAGGTTTAGTCATCCAGAAGTACACATGCTACCATGGGCCAACTCGCAATTTTCACCACTCATATCACTCATAAGTAAAAACATTCAAATATGTACTTTGAATTTTGAATCGTATGCTTACGTAGAAGAGATCTCTGGAATCAGTAATAACATTAAATGCTACTCACTCTCAAGTAATCGAGTAGTTTTCCGTTGGTTTTCCAAAGCCCCACCCACTGAGCAGGGTCAATTGGACCAGCATATAAGAGAGAAGGCGAAAGGTCTATAGTCGAATTTTCTGGCTGCGGATACACAAGATACAATTAAAAAAAAAAAGAGAGGTGAAAGAGAGCGCTTAAAGAGAAACAGAGAGCAGTATACACTGTGTACTCTGACCTCCTTATAATAATAATTACCATGGTGCAGTTGGACGAGTATTTTGTTGGCTGAACTACATTGAGCTGGTATAACATTTTACAGACGGTGACCACACATGTCCACACTGTGCACACCCCCGACATTAGCGGGCGCCAGGTTCTGCAGGGCAGAGCCAGTGACACGAGGATCACAAAGAGCAGGTTAAAGAGACACACCTGTATGGACAGATACATTTAGAGAGAGACAGAGAGAGAGAGAGAGAGAGAGAGAGGAGGGAAAAGGTCAAAAGGTGATCAATGTCTTTTTTATAGAAACAATATCAATAGTACACATCTACAAGGGGCTCCTTGGTTTACAAGATGTTCGATAATATCAGCCAGCTGTTATTATCGGACGCTATTACTATAATTATGTAATATCAGCTTTTCCTCCGATAATGAAACCCCAATAACGCAATGCCTGGGTTTCGCCCATATGATGTGACCTAAAAATAGTTTTGAAGTGAAAGTGAATTATTGTCATTGTGACACAACACAACTGCACACAATGAAAAGTGTCCTCTGCCTTTAAGCCAAACGGCTGCTTATATCGCTATTGGCTGATATGGAATCCGAAATTAAGTGTTTGGACAATATCGACATCCATCCGTTACCGGGTTGTGGGGGCACAGTCTCCACCCAAATCACATTGCACCGTACCTAAAACCTTCCTGCAGGTGGTGATTTTCATCCGCTTCATCCGGGATTCGAACTTGCCCAGGAGGTGAACCCTGGGGTTCCACACCAATGACAGAGGACGTTGCCTCTGGGCCAAAGCGCCACTACAATATCGACATATCGGCAAAAACGTTAATGTCAGATATCCCTATTTACAACATCCTCCACCAATGGTGTTTCATGGTTACATCCTTCTTTCATAAATGTACTAAGAAAGTGTTGTTACATCACTGTGACATTAAAGATTTTGCACGTGAACTAGGAAGTGGACTTTTCCCAAGTCGTACTATATGCGAATATATACTTATATATTTATACGTATTTTTATTTATACTGTCATTTTGAGGATTATTCTTTATTTCTCCTGGTCCCACAATATACATGTACTGTATATGTATACACTCACAAATTGTATAGTATCTACAGTACAAGGTGTGTATTGAGTGTTTTAGAGTGCGAAATGACAGGGAATTATTGTGGCCGCACCATTTCCTTCAAAATAAAAGCCTTTCAGTTATTTTTTTTTTGTGCAACTTTCGTTGCGTAATTGGTGTCGTAGGTACTTTGAACTTGTAATTTAACATTCAACTCGTTATTCAACACCCTGGTCTGCTTAAATAAAGAAAGAAAGAGAAACAACAACACGGTAAGAAATTACAAAAGAAAGTACAAAAAAAAATAACAGGGAAAGGATTCGGACCTCCTTAACAGAAACCCAGACGATGTAGCAGGATACGATTTTGAAGATGTGTAATTCCAGGAGCCACCAAAGGAGGCGTTGAAGGCACTGCAGGGAAAGAAGAAAGCGCAGGAACAGCACCGAGAGACGATCGACCACCAACCTCCAGGAGACAAGTACTGAGTCGAAAGGAGAAATGGCAGAAATCTGCTTGTTGTTTATACCACCATCTGTATGTCGCAAATACAATCACGTGAGTGTTTACCTGTGTTGTGGGCAGGTAATGTTTCCTTGCCAAACATGGAGGGGTCTTCCTCCTCCTCCTGCTCCTCCTCCTCCTCCTCCTCCTCCACTTTCCATTCATCTTCAGTCTTCACCTTTGCCTCCTCTCTCTTCTCTGTCTCCAGAAGAACTGGTGAAGGCCCACTTAACGACAAATCGACCAGGCTACCATCAGAATGAACCAATCTGCCAAAGAAAATTGTCATGTTAAAGGTTTATTTAGTCCTGAGTAGGATATGCCTTCAACTCTCAGTAAAAAAAAAAACAAAACAAAAAAACATTGTAATTGACTCTTGTTACCTGGTGATGGTGCTGTTGTGCGTGTCGACCACAGTCTTCAGGTCAGTTAGCCGTAGGAACGGCTCATGGAAGTAGTGTAGGTGAATGATACAAACCTGCAAAGCCAACATCAACATTGTAACATAGAGTATCTTCATTGTAACACAAAGTGTGTGTGTGTTTGAATATGCACCAGTAGGAATGACGCGGGAATGAAGATCCTGGTGAAAAGCACAGGAACTGAGAACTTTTCCAGACCAATGTCCTCTAATCTGTAAAAATGTTGCCAAAAATAAAAAAAACAAATAACAATAATAAGTTCAACTTCAGGACAATAATCGCATTCATTATTGGCTTTGACAAGCTGCAATCGAACTAACTTGTTGTTTTCTTGTTGCTATGCGACATGACAATAACCGAAAGCGCTGACTTAAGCCAACTCTGGGAGGAGAGTGCTCTGCCTCTATACCACTTTTAAAAGTTTTTTTTGTATGGCCATAGCATTACTGACAGCAAGAAAAGACCGCCATCTCCACACCAGTCCAACTCTCCTCGGCCATTTGTGAATTCTCCCACTCAACCTCCACCACCTCTTGGACCCAACATGGTACAGTAGCAACAGAAACGTCATGCTCATTATCCAGATAATTCGAAAACTAACCAAATGTTGTCTGCTCCTCGTTTTAGGTTTCCTTAAGAACTTCAGTGGGTTTTTGCTCACCCCCACCCTTAATACTAACATGGCAGGGAATTGACTGGATCTAAGCCAGGGCTCCAGACTTTGTCTGACTATACAAGCCTACCTAAACAATGGACTTGTTGGTTTCCCATGGTAGTCCTTCCAACTCCAATTGACCTTACCAGGCAGGGAACAGGCCCTTTCCTTACACAGAGCACAATCTTTGAGCCTAAACTCAGGCAGAGTTTTCTGACCATGAACATACGCCGACACCTTTACTGCGAGAACCCAGACACCTTCCTTCCAGTGTCTCGCAAAAGACAAGGCTTGTTACCAAATATGCATTATTTTAATTGTATCTTATTGATCAGATAGAACAAGACCAGATTACCTATGCGTGCTCAGTCCAGTGTAGTAACTCCAGGTGAGAGGGGACGAAGGAAACTGAAAGGTGTACACCAGGATCAAAACCATCATAGAGTACACCACCACAGCCACCCAGAATCCTCTAAGTAAGGCACGCCAGCGTTCATAATTTAGCTGCAGAGACACAGATTACATTTTTCTATTATTACAACAATAGAAAAAAATGCAGCACAGAACATAACAGCTCGGGGGGGGGGGGGTGACCAGATCAATCAGCAATCAGTTTCAGACAGATTCTTACAACTTGAATTAGACAACCAAATCTGTTTTTGCGTCTTACCTGATAGAGGGCGACACAGCAAAGGAACATGACCATGTAGATAACTTTGTAGAGGACGATTTTCCCCTCAAAGCTGACGAAGAAAAACATGGTTCCACACACGTAGATCCAGTACTTAACAAACATCCTGGTGACCACAGCAACCAGCGTCTCCATTTGGATTCCTACTCTGCCATCAATGAGCAGCATTTCTTCATACGATGCCTCTGTGTTTTTCCGAGCGTTCTGATTTTCTGATTAGGGAGACAGTAGTTGAAGAAGACGTGTGTGCAGACAGAAAAACATAAAAAAAAAGTGTTGTTCTTGACGGACATAACAGACAACAGTGCAATATAGACACAAATAATCTTAATAAATGCCAGTTTAAAATGAATACCTAAACCCTCATCTGCTTGCCCACTTTAAATTTTAGAATCAGAATTTCCGATTTATCACAGGGTAGTTGTGGATTAATCACGATTAATCAAGATATACAAACATTCCGAAATATGACAAAAAAGGTTTATTTTTCTGTGTATACAAATAACAAGTAAACATATAAAAGTATAGATCATAATTTAGCTTCATAGAGTTGGTGGATTTTAGTCATTAATGTTCAATAATCCAGTGTAGTAACTCCAGGTGAGAGGGGATGACGGAAACTGAAGGAAAGGTGAATGTCAGGATCAAAATCATCATGAAGTACACCACCACAACTACCACATTAATGTTGACAATACATAGACATAGAGACAATTCACAACGAGGTGACGACCAAAGACCCCTTCAAGTGTAGATTGTGTAAAAGTAAGGCTTCTTCTACTGTCCCTGTTTAGTGCATTCCCTGCTCGTGCTTGTTCCTCGTTTAAATCGGAACGTTGTATTTTGCCAGCACACGTAAATGTACTTTGAGTTAAGTGTTTATCAGACGTCTCACCCTCTGTGTGGACAGTGATTGTAGAGAGAAGCGCGTCAGTCCGTCGGTCCTTTTTCTCAGTCAGCGCCTGACGCAGCAACAGCCAGAACGTCAACAGACATAGTAACTGCAATGGAAAGTACGCATTTTGTAACTGGTCTGATAACATAAGGTTATTAGTTATTCTGTTCCTGCGGTGCAACGTGCAACTCGATTTTCGCTATTAGTAAACTCACATGCTGTACATAAGTACCCATGTCACTTATCTATGCTAACACAGTGGTAACATCATTACCTAGGACATAAAAACACCAGGAGAGTCTGACTTTGCTCGGGAGCCGTAATGAAGGGCAAAACGTTTAGCGCCACATTCATCCACTCCGCTCACAGACTGGTTCCCATGCAAAATTTTGTTTTAACACCATGCGTCGGAATCATTTATTACCTTACCAAAAAAAAAAAAAACTTAAAAAATAGAAGAAAAAAAAATAGGTCGAGGACTTCGTAAACTGAGGACCCCTGTATTAGAAAAAAAATAAAGTATGATAAAATAAAAGAAAATTTAGGATTGGAATAAAAAATAAATAATGCTTGTAGACAATAAGTGAACTTTTCTGGCCACTGAATAACTGAAAATGTAAACATTCAGGTCATCAAATAACTTAAATCATACCAGATTACACTGATGGAGTTTACTGCTCACTGTTATGGTTAATCTGTTACCTTTGAGGCAAGCTCCCTGCAAGGGACATCTTTCTGTTACCTTCGAGGCAAGCTCCCTGCAAGGGACATCTTTCTTAGGGAACAGTCCAGGCACTTCTTGTATTGAATGAAAGCTGTAGATATACTGCAGGATTACTATTAGGTTTCCGTATACGACCAACCAGGGCGATGACATTAGTGTGTAGCGGCGGCGGTCTCGCATCATCCAGAGGACACATGACCACAGCAGCAAGACACAGGTAAGCCACGACACATACGTGACCGACCATGCCATCATGGCCATTAGAGCACAGATGTAGCTCTGTTTGAGTAAGAAGCTGAATGCCATGGATGCAGCACTGACTCCATCCTTCTCATCTTGCACCTCATCCTCCACCCACTTGTCTGCTTCAAAAAGACAAGTGTCCAAGGTGTCTGCGGCATCAAAGACAAATGTCATAATGACCTTATGTGACGACATAGTTCTCCTGACATGACTGACAATTGTTAACCAGCGCTCAAACCGCAGACCCACCTGATTGGCTGAGAGAGTAGTGAGGTCTGGAGTCATCCAATCCAAGAGAAGTGCTTTGCGTAGGGAGGACGAAGGAGTCCGAGAGACTCGTCTCAGTCGCTGAAACTTCCATGCAGTTGGGCCGATCACGCGCTTCGCTCCACAATTCTCTCCTTCTCTCTGCCGTGATGTCGTCACTGAACTTATCACTTAAGATGCTGGTGGCAGTGATGTCCTCACTGCTTCTGCCTACCGCTGACTCGGTCATTTGAGCATCATCATCATCATCTATAAGCTGAAGTATTTGAGCATCATCATCATCATCATCTATAAGCTGAAGAAACACGTGTCAGTGTTTTTTTAGCAGTGATTCGAATCCCACGATGATGACATATTCCTTACCCGGTTCCTCCACAGGCTGGCAACGGTGTGATGAAGCAGCAGCAACAGCAGAGGACTACAAAAGTGAAACCACCGTAGCTCAGCGTTCAGCTGCAGCGTCCAGGGAGAAACGCAGTCCACGATCACCACAGGCACCAAACCAAACAAACTGCAAAGGAAAAACACATAATCATATAGCCAATCAAAATTCAAATAATAAATATTGATTGTTGATTAAAAATTATGTTGTTCCAAAAATACAAACAAATGAACGAGTGATATCGATACCTTAAATTACCTTGCTTTAAATTTCCTGTGCGAACTATTCAGAAACCTTCAATATAAATTGTTTGTTCTGCCTATATTCTTGTAATTACGATCTACTTATTGGGCCACCCCCGACCCATAATATCCAACAAACATTCCATTTTTGGACTGTTGGAGAACTGGTGTCCAGTGATCTTCTTGCTGTAAAGCAGTAATACTCAAATAGTGGGGCAGGCCCCCCTCAGGGGGCACAGTGAGGTGCCAGGAGGGGCACGAGGGGCTTCAAATGGAATATGGCACGCATATGGACATAAGTGTACCACTGCTGAAATACTTGAATGATAACAAGCCTCCAGTCACTAGGTGGCAGCAACTCATACAGTGGTTTGTACAGATAAAAAAAAAAAATCCATGTTATTAGGTTCTCAGTATTTCAATTTACTGAGGTGTGGGTCGGGGGGGCACTGGGGGGTCGTGAAAACATTTCTGTCCCCAAGGGGAGGGGGGTGACTGGAAATAATCAAGAACTACTGCTGTTAAGGCACATATCCTAACAACATTTGCCACCTTGATGCTCCCTGTCCTTTACATGTTTTTACAAGTTTAGCAAACTATGTTTTGGTAAGTTCCAGTCCATTGAGAGCAAAAAAAGAAGGCAGTTTCCTCTGTTTTCACGACTGGATACACTAGATGGCGATGTTTCTCTGACAGCTGTTTCTATTTACAAGAGATTTGACAAGCACATTCTGTGTCCGGTTGGTAAGAAAGTCAATAAACCATAATGCCAAACTTATAGTTAGGGTTAACCTCTCTTAGTCTACATGGTGCAAACAGGAGCCTGGCAATTGTGTTAGGGCTCCTAGGTGCTTCTGATCAGTGTCAGGGAAATATTTTGGCATCATCCAGATGGATTCATCATTGGATCAGCAGTTTTGGGTGATATGGCCTATAACAATCCATTTCCAACGACTTAATCACCAGAGGAGTGAGAGCCATACGCCTCTGTCAGTCAAAATTATACTGGGGCCCCGTTATAGAAATGGGGGCGACTATGGAATGTTTTCACTTTTTTGAGGCACAGTCCTGAAGTTTATTGCTGTTTGAAACAGAAGTTGGGAAACTCTTTCCGGCTGTTCGGCACACTGTTTCAGTGTGAGCCCCCAGATGTTATCCAGAGGCAGAATTAAGTCTGGTTTTGATGAACACCTAGGTAGTGTAAGGAAATCATGTTGTTGTGGTGTCCATCTCAAATCTAGTAAAAGGAGTTAAGGCCATGGGGTAGGGATTAAGCATTGCAGTAATCATTTTGATTAGGTTTGCAGCTGTCTGAGGCAGTGCCATGGTTTTAAAACCTTGCCAAGGAGAGAGAGATTCCCCGGAGTAAAGGAAGGCTCAACAATCTTTATGCCATCTGGAGTCCATTGTTTGGTGTTTCCAATTATGTTTGTATGTTGTTATATGGAACAAACAAAACTCTGGATGGATTGACTTGCATGGTCGAACATCAAAAAAAAAACTCAACTGGTCAAAATCAAAGATCAACTAATTGCACACCCCAATGAAAAGCAGTTACATGGTATTGGGTCGCTATGTCGGCAGGTTTTATAGTATGATTAGGAGTATTTGAATCAAATACGAAGGAGCATCCCTAATTCTTCATTATTAAACAATTTAATCAATTTAATACTTCAACTAAAAACAACATGCCTTTAAACAAAAATGCGTGATCAATAGCCAGAAGATCTTTTACCTGGCAGAGATGGAATCAGGAGGCCACACCTCCTGTAATGAGGGAAGCTGGTAACAATAGAAAACCAAGAAGTGGAAGGAGCTGTAAACCATTGACATCACTAACACACATCGGAAGACGAGGGGGGGGACCCTTCCTGACCATGCCCACCATGTACACAACACCTGAAAGCAGATGAGGTACAGCAGGGACGAGAGCGAGGGGAACGTGATACCTGCAGAGGCCAGGACAGAAGGGAGGGACAAAGAAGGGTGGTTTTCTGTTAAACACCGGGTTTATTCTGTAACTTCCAACTCTACAACCCTTTATATTGTGCTAGCTTACGGTAATTTCCCGACTATGAGCGGCTACTTTTTTTTTACACGCTTTGAACCCTGCGGCTTAAAACAACGATGCTGCTAGTTTATGCATTTTTACGGGCTAGCAAAGTTCATACCGCTAGCGGTCGGTGACTTTTCTGGTAGGCTACCGTGTGTTATACTAGTAGGGTATGTCTTTGGGTGTGGTGCGAGAGAGAGAGAACAGTAGTGAAAGTTGAGAGCAGTTTGAGCCGTGTAATGTTGAAAGTGTTAGTCGGTGTGGCTGATAATAAAGACCCCATCTTCCCTGTTTCTGTTTACCTCTGCTGCGGACAAGCACAAAGTGAAGGGAGTTAGCCCCGGAGCTAATGTTAGCTTCAGCCCTGGAGCAGATCACTAAGTCTGCCCTGTGCATTCCAACTACGGTCGGGGTACCAAAACAGAAAAGAGCTAATGTGTAACCAGCCTTGTTACAGTCACTGTTCGGAAAAAAAACATATATTTAATTAAAAGTGACAAAAAAAAAACTTTCTGTGTAAATATCCCATCCCATTACAACGTGGACACCTGCGGCTTATAGAGAAGTGCGGCCTATATATGTAGAATTATGTTTTTCTTTTTAAATTTAGTGGGTGCGACTTATACTTAGGTGCGCTCAATAGTCCGGAAATTATGGTAACTTTGTTTTATACTGCCAGGATTTGGCTGTTTTTTGTCGTGACGTATTGCCTCACTTCCTATAAAGTGGCATTTGCATGTGCTCAGCATTACTGAAACATTCTCAGTAATTTTCTACATTTAACTATCTATTTTTTTACAGCTCCTCGACAGCTGTTTTAAGTCATTTCATTTATTTGTTTTAAGTACGGTATGACTAGCTTTCATATCTCCCATATTTGAGTGACAACTCATTGGACAATGAATGTGTGGACATAAAATGAGGATGTCCTGCTATAACTTCCTCTGGGTCATAAACACTGCCCAAGAAAATCATTCGGTGCCCTCTTCCCACCCTGGAACAAATCTCCACATCCTGCTGCCTCGGAAAAGCCAAGGCCGTCACAGCTGAACCCTCGCACCCCGTCCATCCCTTGTTTGACCTGTTACCCTTTGGAAGACGATACAGGTCAATCAATTCCCACACCACCAGACCGACTACCAACTTTTCCCCCTGGGCCATCCGGACCGTTAACACCCATGGACACACACAATAGTCACTCACTCACAAAAATACCCAGTATCTCCTCATTGACTGTATATTAGATTTTCAGGAGCCGAATGACTAAATTCTAAATGAGACCACTCTCACGCTTAACTCAAGACAACCTTTATGAGTTCCAGTCCGGTTTCCGTACCCAACACAGCACTGAATGTGCCCTCCTGAAAATAGCAAATGATCATCTTCTGGCAGCCAGTTTTGATCTACTACTTTGATTAATACTCATCCATCTCTATGATGAGGCCCTTTAAGCTTTTTAATCTAGCCCGCCAAACCTTTCCAAATGATATAATTTATTTATTTTATAATTATACATACTTTTTTTCTCCTCCTTTTTTCTCTTTTCCCTGCAATACCCAAGATTCCCCAATAGATGGTGTAAAAAACGATAAGAGGATTTGGCATTTTAGCCTTTATGCATGACTTTAACGTGTCATTTATCTTAGTTCGCACAAACTCTCCATCTATCTGCTCCTGACCCGGCCCCCCTGTTCAGTTTTAGAACAATTGTGGCCCGCGTGTCAAAAAGTTTGCCCACGCCTGTTCTAACCAAAAGCTCCTGTTTTTTCTGTACGATTCATCAACTTCCACAAACTTATCAGAATTAAAACAGAATATGAATTATTCTCATTGGCTCAAAATCCATATTTAACTGGTTAAGAACTCAGCTTTTACATAAACCCCCTCCTCCATCACATCACTCCCATCATTCAACAGTTCCATTGGCACCACATATTCGACTCAATAAGAAAATATTGTTATTACTCAGGGTTCTGCCCTCGACTCCTGGTCGATTATCTCCACTGCTTTCACTCCTGAGGACCTTTCTGGATTTTGAACATAAACACAACTTCCTCCTCTATCCACTTCAACACAGCACAGATGCTCTGCCCCCCATCCCTAGAAATCCCTGGATGGATGGATGGATGGATGGATGGATGGACCTTTCGGGATTTTGAACATAAACACAACTTCCTCCTCTATCCACTTCAGCACAGATGCTCTGCCCCCCATCCCTAGAAATCCCTGGATGGATGGATGGATGGATGGATGGATGGATGGATGGATGGATAGATAGATAGATAGATAGACAGATAGATAGATAGATAGATAGATACATACATAGATAGATAGATAGATAGATAGATAGAGAGGTAGATAGATAGATAGATAGATAGATACATACATAGATAGATAGATAGATAGATAGATGGATAGATAGATAGATAGATAGACAGATAGATAGATAGATAGATAGATAGATAGATACATACATAGATAGATAGATAGATAGATAGACAGATAGATAGATAGATAGATAGATAGACAGATAGATAGATAGATAGATAGAACTTTATTAAAGGAAGACATTCATGCCGATGATGTAGGCCTAATGATTGAAACTGATGTACGTTTCCTCTGTTGTTGAATGTCAATAAAAACGTAAATAAAAAAAGAGAGAAAACTGCCACAGTTACCTGTCAGTCCCAGTAGAGCCGTCAGAAGAACCTTCCCCCCAGTTGCAGTCACGTTTCCCAGTAAATCCCTACATCTCGAGACCAGTAATTCCAGTTCAATCAGAAGCCTCATTTTGCTGTCATTTTCATCCTGCTCATCCTCCTCTGGTCCTGGCATGGAATCCCTCTCAAAGATCTGATCCTGCTCCTGCTGAGACTTAAAACAAAAAACCAAAAAAAAAAAAAAAACGTTTGGTCTAAGCGTAAAGAGGATGAGAAGGTCTGAGAGTTGAATTAAGGAGAGGATTATGTGAAAAGAGGATGAAATTTGACAGTGTTCAAAGGACATATGACTGTAACGATTAGAAGGGAAGACCAAGAAGGACAACGAAAGTAAATGGTGAAGACTGAGGAGGAAAAGATCGCCTAGCATGGCCCAAGAGAAAACATAAATGTCAAAACATTCAATCAGCTCAGACAGAGTTAAACGAAGCGACAGAAAAAGGTGAAAATCTGCAGGTGTAACAATAATTGAGAGTGACATTCAAGGGACAGGGAGAGAAAGGCGATCAGTGGTTCAGACAGTTTATATGAATTGAAAAAGATCAAGACAGAGGAGACTTGACCATTACGAAGAGTGAGGAGGAGGAGGCGTAGGTGAAGGTAACGAGAAAGACGGAGATGACGAGTTACGTAGCAGTAGGAAGGTTTGACAGCTGCAATAAGAAAGGAAGAGACAAGACCAAATGGAAGTTGAGGAGCAGCGAATGGGAAATGAGACTTTATTGAAGATTGAGGAGGAGAACTGAGAACGATGAGGAGTGGGGAGGAAGACGAGGACTTCATCTGGTTTCATGGTTTCAAGACAGAGAGAAAAAAAAAAACAATAATAGAATGAAAGTGAAACGTAATAACACAGTCATCGTTGCTGTGTGTGTATTGATGAAGTCTTAACGACGTTACAATTATTAATTGCTGACTATGTTACACACTAATAGAAAACAAACCTCGTTAGGCGACTAGAGGGGCACACTTAACAAGGTTATACTCGTGTGTGTGTTTGTGTGTGCGTGTGTGTTCTACCTGTGTGTGTGTGTCACTGTTCAGTCTCATAATGAGTCTCCAGGTCACCAGACTGATGACTAATACACCAACATCTGGAAGGACCTGTCTCACTGCAGAACCTGAATCACTTCCTGTCAGACTGAACCAGAGCAAGGGAGAGAGGGGAGAGACGGGGAGGCAAATGGTGAATACGGAGAAGAAGAGGGGTCATGGTCAGAGAGAAATGATCAAAGACATTTTAGATCATTTACAAAAAGTGCAAAAATAAAATGCAAACATAAATGTAAAGAAGAAGATACCAGCAGTTTTGGACTTAAAAAAACGACTAAACTAATTGTTATTTATGGGATTCTTTTCAGGTCCCACCATCATCTCAGACCCTTTGCTTTTTCTAAAGAAAAAAAAACTCTTAAACCACACCAAAAATGCACTTTTCTTCAAAATAAGGAAGTTCTAAGAGGCTTCTTCAGTTCCAAACCGAAGAAAAAGCCTCTTGTGTAAGAGGTGAAACGTCTTCGAGAAACCTACTCCGTCCAGTTGCCCTCAATGTAACTATTTTTGACAGACAGACAGATACGGACTGAGCGCCTACACAGACATGTTTCTGTCTGTTTGATTTCAAGTCACACAATGTCATTCTTACCCGACAAGGCCAAGCTGTGCGAGAGATCTTTGCCACGACGTACCTGCAAAGAGATGGACAGAAGTCAAACTGAGGGACAAAGCAAGAGGGGAAAGCAAATTTTAGAACGCTGGTGGAAAAACGTGCGGAAAAGGTGAACAGACAGACAGATACAGGTACCGTAATTTCTGGACTATAAGCCGCTACTTAGTTTATAGCGCTAGCGATCAATGACTTGGTAGGCTTCAGTGTGTTATACTAGTAGCGTATGTCTGTCTGTGATTGGCTGTGTGCGTATATGTGAGTGGGGCGCGCAAGAGAGACAACGGTAGCTAAAGTTGAGAGCGGTTTGAGCTCTGTCCTGTTGATGAGTGAGTTGGTTATACAGGAGCTGTTTATGTTCTGTTGTGGTCGTAGTGGCTGATAATGAAGACCCCAACTTCACTGTTTCTGTTTACCTCTGCTGTGGACAAGGACAAAGTGAAGGGAGTTAGCCCCGGAGCTAATGTTAGCTTCAGACCTGGAGCAGATCACTAAGTCTCCCCTGTGCATTCCAGCTGCGGTGTTACATGCACTGTTTGGAATAAACAAATCATTTAATTAAAAGTGAAAAAAAAATCTAATAATATCCCATGTTACAACATGGACACCTGCGGCTTATAGAGAAGTGCGGCCTATATATTTAGAATCGTTTTTTTTTTTCTTTTTAAATGTAGTGGCTGCAGCTTATATTCAGGTGCGCTCAATAGTCCGGAAAAATTACAGTACAAATAAATATGAGCTAAACAGCGGACACATGGACAGACAGAGGTGATGAGAGACAAGGGACTCTTACAATTGAATTCAGGTTGTAGAGTAGCAGTTGTAACCTGCATGAAGGTCTGCAGTAAAAGGAAGAGAAAGCTGCAGATACAAAGTGACATCACACAGCGACTCGTGTTCCCTGGGAGACAAGAGGAAACAACAATTTACTTCTCGACACTTTGTCCACACTTCCAGGGTGTATGTGGGGCGTAGCTATTTCGTATTTCGAGAGCTGCAGCTGATGCGTCCTAAAGTCTGTACAGCCTCCGTTGGCTGGACCACTGCGTTTGAGGGCAGCGGGAGGTCAAGGTTCTAGCCTACATTATAATTCTAATGTAATGTAATTATATGAAACTGTAATTGTTTCACCAGCTATTTCCTCAGATGATCAGCTTTATGGCTGTCACGATTAAACCGCTGACGTGTGCCTTTGCGGGTGATCATAACAGTGCACAGTCACACACAAAAATATATCATCGTCACATGTGTCGCAGCAAAACTTTTCATATAAAGCGCCCTGTTTTTCAATAATTCCACTGACAATTTACTTTTTAATTTATTTTTTTTTGTTCTTTCAGCTAGTATTGCCCGAGGACAGTTTTTATGACGATTCATTGCACAAAATACAATTTTGTACAATGCCTACTACTAATAGATTGCAAAGAGAGTGCTGGTAGATCTAAGCAAATAAAATTAAAATACTGTATATGCATATATATATATATATATATATATATAAATATAGAATAGAATACAAATAAATAATTTTTATTGTATTGTATAAATATATGATATAATACAATATAGGATTGTACTTATATATATATATATATATAAATACAGTCCTATATGTTTAGTTTCAAATTTTTTAAATATCAGATTTCATTTAACAACATTGTCAACATATTCTCAAAGTGAACAAATGAACTTACTTTATTATAGTTACTTAATTTTTGGGGGGGTTAATGTATTTTTTCCTTTTACTGTCTACCAAATAGACTTTTCATAGAGACACACCTAAAGATAATGCAATGAATAAAATTACAATACAATACAATTTGTTGCCTTAAAGGCCAGAGGAGGTTAAGACACATTCACCAACTGCTTCTGTAGTAACCAAAAAAAAAAATTAAAAAAAATTGAACAGCCCTATACAGCTATCAATATACAGGAAAAAACTTTTACCAATGCAGCGGTAACAGAAATCTAAACACACGTGATTATTTTTGAAACACTGAGAGGATATACATCCTCCGTTTTAGGTGACCTTACTGAACTCTCTATTCTCTGTTAGAACAAACATCCTGTTCTCTCTCCTGTTGCCCTTGCACGTGTGTCATTTTGTCAGGATATTACATCATCACTTGGCGTCATTAATCATTAGGCAAAAATTGGATCATGCTACCAGTAGTGCAGCCTTGACAGATGCATTATTGGCGAGGTCAAACAGTGCAACCATACCTGCGTTGGAGGTAGGATCCTGCAGCAGCGGCATCAGCAGCAGCAGGACAACGTAGACCAGAGAGAAACCATTGTAGCGCAGTACGCATGCTGTGAACACATGAGCGCTGTCAACACACGCGTAACGTGAACACATGCACACCGAATCCGTGCGCAAAATTTGGAACGTGAATGGTGTGAATAGGGGTCTATAAATGTAAACACGGGACCAGTGGAGGACCGAATGCTTTAAACACACACAAACAGTGTGAACATACAGTATACGGAGTGTGAACACATAAAACACTGTCAGCACATGAAAGCTGTGAATAGGCAGGCAGCCACATATGTGTAGTGGCTTCGTTTCCCTATCGCAGACAGAACGCTCCTTTTAGTCTAGCAAAAAAAAAAAAACATCTGTTTCTGTGCGTGTGCGGTGAGAAATTTGTCAACATGCACCTCCCCCTCCCTGTGGAATGTGAGGCACATTAAAGGGAAATGTACCTAAAGCATATAAAAAAAATTTTTTTAAAAATTCAAACTTTACTCCTGGAAGGTTTCCGCAGCCTAATTAAAGACGCTCTCAGGACTTTACCAGAAAATCATCATAGGATTAATGATACAGTATAAAAAGCTTTCGGCCTGGCATTGGGAGAACCTTTGCTCACTGTTCCAGCGTGTATGGTGTTAAATGCAGAGATTTAATAACTTTAGGGGATAACAAAACAGAAATATTATTTTGTTATTGTATTGTAATTTGTTGTTGTAATTTTATATATATCATATTTATAATTTATATTATATATAATGCTGCAATGTAATGGTACTGATTTCTTAGTGCAAGTCCAGTTCAATGTTAAGTGGCAACACTTGACTTGGCCTGTTGCATTATGGTAGTACTTCTTAAATAGTGGGGGGGGGGGGCTTTTTTTGGAATAAGGAAATTGGATGGCGGGAAGGAAAACAAGCCTCCAGTCACTAGGTGGCAGCAACTCATACAGTGGTTTGTAAAGATAAAAATATAGATGTTATCAGATCCTCAGTAGTATTTCAATTTGCGAGGGTGTGGGGGTGTGTCGGGGGTTGGGGGAGGTTTGAAGGGAGCATGAAAACATATCTGTCCCCAAGGGGGGCATGATAGAAAATGAGAACCACTGCATTACGGTAATAGTCAGTAACTCAGCAATTAGTTACTTCCACATCACCTTGGGGCAGTGGTTTTACTAGGTAGTACTAGGTAAGTACTAAGCCGGCGTCAGGGAATTGGAGGGAAAATAGGAAACATTATTTTATTTGTTTTATTTTTATAATCGTCTGTCCTGAACCGTACAACATGCAAACTGTCACAATCACTGGATTCTCAAGTTTCTGCCAGCACCTGAAAGCATCTCACGCGACAGCTACAAACTGACAAGGTCGTAATCTGTGCAGACCTGGCTGTTTGTGACTTGGGATTTAGCAGCTCTGCTCCTCGAGCTAGTCTGTGGCTAGCTAGTTATTCGGTGGGAATATACAGTGCTAAAAAACATGCGTAATATTTATTGAATAGTGAATATAAGTAGGAAAATACATTCTAAATGTTGATGTTTCTTTACATATTTTCGTAGCATTGTCTGTGAGTTTGCAATGCTGTTCAGGGGCAGTTCTTCTTTTTAAATCTGTCGTTAGCCACTGCACAAATTAGTTGGATAAGACACAGTTTGCACTTTATTTAATTTTGTAATTATTAGACATTTTTTTGAATGAGAAAGGGAGGCTCTGCTCTAAATTATTAAAGTAATTGCACAAATAATATTACCTGCAGATATTTTTTGTTTTCTTATGATAGGGGCAAAGGAACTAATTTTCATTAAGTACCCCCTTCCAGTCACCAAGTGCTTTTCTTGAAGCTGTTGGACTGACAAGAGAACTCAAGTCTGACTGCATTTTTAATAAATTTGTATGCAAATAAAAATGTAAGCTAAAGAAAACTTTACTTTTATAAACATACAGTATTTAGCTAAAGAAAATCAGAATTAGTATCTGCAATTTGTACTTGACAAAAAAACAAAAAAAAACAAATCGGAATTGTCCAAAAATATTGTCATCAGTGTATCTCTACTAAAAGATTGAATAGAACTATAACCCAGATTCAGACCTCGTCTTGGGTAATCCTTTATGTGTTTTTACTTTTAGGCTTACCTGCTGTCAGGGTGAGGGGCAGTAGAACCCTAAGGATCAAACCTGCAGCCAGTTCTGAGGACATCTCTAACACGATCCAAAAGTAAACACAGTCCAGATTCTGGACCAAAGTGGACCTCAGACGATTGTGAAATAATCCAAGTCACTTCATCTAACCACCATCACTCATGGACAGGAAAGCTGAGAAACAAAAAGAGGTGGATACTGTGATACTGAAAAAAAAAACATCCAAGATAAAGAAAGACTTGAGACTTTGAGATATCAATGTAGGATATAAACAATAGAGGCAGCGGGTAAAGAACGTGAGTTTCACAACAGACGTAATGAACTGAGAGAATAAATCACCGATAAATCATACTTTTCTGTCCTACAGCAAATTGCATGTGTGTTTTTCTGCCTGTCTCTCCTATCGAATGCATTTCATTCTGTCAAAATGTCTGTCTATCACTTAATGTGTAAGTTATCCGTCCAGTATGTCTCTTGTCTCGCTGTCCTAGTTATTTCTTCATCACGTTCTCTGCGACTGGCTTGTCTGACAGAGAAAACACAGAAAAGCAGCGTTTATATTTGTCTCTCAGAGAGTCCGTCTCTCATTCTGCCTGTCTGTAATCATTTCTGTCTGTCTTCAACATATCTTTTCTTGTCTCAACTTATCTCCGTCTCTCTTGCAGTAAAAAGTTTTTGGGGTTTTTTTTTGTTTGTTTGTTTTTTAAAAGTATTTACTGGTTCACTCACTCATTCTTGTCGTCGGTGTTTCCAGTCTTGCTTTCGCAGTAAATACATTATATCCCGCGGTTCTTTATTTTTTTTCCCCTTTTTTTTTTGGTTTCTCCGTTAAAAAGACTCCTTTGCACAGAAACTCTCTTTCTCTCTCTCGAACTCTCTCTCTCTCGCTCACTCGCTCCCTCTCTCTCTCTTTCTAATTTTCACTCGCTCACTCTAACACGCAGGCTATAACCATATTATGACGGACAGTTGTCTCGGCCAATCGGAAGGCTGCGTAAAACGAATAGCGTCTTCCTGATACTTTGGTTTAAATCCTAATTCTCTAACGTTTTGGCATCGTGTCGTGAACGTCATGAACAGAGCTGTTGACGTCGTTTTATATGACCAAGGTAATGAGCGGGGGCTTAACAAAGACAACCATTTATACAGTGGGGGGTTCGAGATACGAGTTTAGTCCGTTCCACAACAGAACTTCTGTGTCGAATCACTCGCGTTTACATTGCATTTTCCCCAATTAAAAAAAAATAACTAAAATGCAATTAATTCGTTTCAACCCCCCGGAAATATACTTTCTATATAATTAATATAATTAATTAAATTAATTAATACATTAATATAAACAAATTATATATTTATATATTGATAATACAGAATATTAATATTAAAATAACAGTTTATATTATTGTTATAAAAATGTGTAAAATACACATAGCGAGCGAGACAGAGTGTCGGGACCACTGAGCGTAGGAGGACTGGGAGTGAGGACTCGATTTAGATGATAGTAAGAAAGAGAGATAGAGCAATAGAAATAGAATGGCTGGCTTTTGGGTTTTTTTTTTTTACTTTTATGTTCACGATGAGCATTGTTGTTTGTAATATATACAACTTTGATATAAAAACTGGACATTCAGTATAAAATAACTATGAACAATTGTGTCAAAGAAAAACAAATCTTTCCTGATATAAGCCAAGCGAAGCTGAGCTTCAAGGGCGGTTTAATACGCAGCACTGTGGCATTGGTTCCTGAAAAAATTGTATCTGATGATCTGTGATTAGGAAATTATTCCGGAAGAACTAATCATATTTTTCAAAGCGATCACACCAGGGGCAACTGAACTGTTTTAGTTTCTTGACATCTCATCTCATTTCACTTTTTTTTTCTTCTCATCCAAGAGGCTTCAGAAAACTGAATCTAATTATTATTTCATCTTAAACAAAGTGGCGCTTTGGCCCAGAGGCAATGTCTCTGTCATTGATGTAGAACCCCAGGGTTCACCTCCTGGGCAAGTTCGAATCCCGGTTGGTATGGTGCAGTGTAATTTGGGTGGAGACTGCTGCCCCTGCGACCCGGTAACGGATAAGCGGATGAAAATGGATGGATGGATCTTAAACAAAAACAGCATCATCATCTGTGATTCAAATTCTACCCACTTAGGCTCTATAAAGGTTGACACAGAAACAGAAATAGACTTATCTAAGATCGCTTATTGTTCCCAACATCACAATGATACAAGTCACATTTTGGCAGTTTCAGCTACACACCAGCTACTAACTAAATAATAACTGAATCAGCTTTGTGAATTCAATAAGGAAAGAAAGCTTCTCAGATGCTACTGCCATTCCTCTGGTGCAGAACGTGCACAGTTAACCCATAACCTACAGCTGGGTTGCTATGGGGGAGAGAGGTGTTAATCTGAAGAGCAGTCTCTAGCTCATATTAGGTCCGGGGTGCATTGTTTTGATTTGTTTTGACAATGCATATTGCCTGGCAGTGGTACAAAAGTTCTGAAAAAGCTAAACAAATAAAGAGTAGTACAGATTTTAAAAAAAAGGTTGCATTACAGCAGTTTTTTCTCCCCCTCCTCCCCCGACCCACACCCCCACCAATTGAAATACTATTGAAAACCTGATAACATGTACAATATATTTTTAATAGTACAAACCACTGTATGAGGTGCTGCCCCCTAGTGACTGGTTTGACTAGTTTCAAAAAATACTGTAACTTGTGTTGTTTCTTTAAGTAATGCCCATCACACCATTTAAATCTGTTGTTATGGCCCAAAAGGTTCAAGTTCAGGTGTAGTTCAAGTAGTTTGTAGATAAAGCGTAGATGTGAGGTTGAGATGGTTTTGGACAGTGAGGAGAGATAATAGATATATTGGACCAGGGATGTTGGAGTTCCCAGCTAAAATAGAAGAAAAGGACCTTAAAGACTATTTGTGTATGCTGCGGAAGAGGACACGGGGTTAGTTAGCGGAGGAGGCAGTAGGTATGGTAAAATGGAGGCACAAAATTCATTGTGGTGACCCCTGCAAAGACCAGCCGAATGGAGAAACCGGTGGTATTAGCAAGGTTACCTCATCTTAGTCTTAGTGAGGTGATACTCTATACAACTGCTCTCTGAAGCATTGAGAACGCATTAGATCAGGTGAGCCCAAGAAACAGATCAGCAATCAACAAGTAGATCGCAAATTCACTTCTGTAGTGTGTAGTAGTGACCATAATATGTAAGAATTGAATCATATTGTGCCATACAGTTACATGCATTTAACCATTAAACAGACAGTACAATGTACACAGGGAGTCCTTGGTTCAAGCATTTTGTGGCCATGTAGCCACTTACCTTACATAGATTCATTAAGAAAGTATTTTTCTATCATTTAGATCAGGCGTGGGCAAACTTTTTGACTGGCGGGCCACAACTGTCCTAAAATTGAACATGCGGGCCGGGTTAGCAGCAGATAGATGGAACGTTGGTCTGAACTAAGATAAATGACATGTAAAAGTCATGCAAAAAGGCTAAAATGCTAAGATGCTTTTATAATTTTCTACTCCTTCTATTGGGGAAACGTGGGTATTGCAGGGAAAAGGCAGAACTATAATGATAATATAAATAAATTATATCATTTTGAAAAGTTTGGCGGGCCGGATTCAAAAGCTAAAACGGGCCACATCTGGCCCCCGGGCCTTAGTTTGCCCATGTCTGGTTTAAAGATGCATGGTGTTAAAACAAACTTCGCACAGGAACTAGTTGTCCAGTTGTGTTTTTTTTTTTTTTTTGGGTGGAACTTTCTGCCCTTAATTAAGGGGCGGATTCCAATGTAAGTCGAGGTCGACCCATGCATAGAAAGAATATTCAGTTTATATGAAATTTTTTTTTTATATATTATATGTTAATATTGATATATCTTCATTATATGTAGCTAGATAAATTGTCTTTTGTATTTTCTTGTGGTAAAAGTTTGGTCCTGTTTACAGGAATAGATTGAAATTTAAAAAAAAAAAGTTTGTTTGTTTGTTTTTTGTTTTTCTGAAATTGTTCTAAATAAGCGTTAGCGTGAAAAGCTGATCATTCGATCACATCTCCCATTACAATGCATTTTAATGACAAGAAAAACAACGTTTAACGTCAAACGTTAAATCCCTGATACAGCAAAAAATGGCGTCGCGCACGGTGTAATGACGTCACCACCCCTGCGCGTCGCACAATACGTAGGTTTGAAAAGCGTCCATTAAAGTAAGGAGGACTGCGCGAGCTCTGCAGGAGAACAGGTACAATTACGCTTACTTTTTAATCATTGAAGATGATTGTTGACATGTAAAACCAGATCTATTTGGTCATCGATCAGTAGGTTTAGAGAAAGAAGAGAGCATCATTTCTGCATCATCGTACTGTAGCTCACTCCCCCCTCCCCGCTCTCTTTCTCCATCAGTGTGTGTGCTTGTGTCGGTGTTGCAGTGGGTGTTTCCTGCTGCAGGACACTAAAACACTACGGTCCAACGTGTCCTCGCTACATTTAAATGGACCCAGATGTAGACCTGAAATATAAATATGAATATAACATTTCAAAAGTGTAGCTGGGGTATAAAATACCTAAATCTCAGTAACGTATCATTACTTTTTTTATATATTACTAATGTACCGTTAAATTTAATCACGTGGATATTGTGTTATATTCCAACAGGAAAATTGATAATTAAAGACAATAAAAATGATGACGATCACTTTAAAAAAAAAACAACTTCTTTGTAAATTAATGAAAACAATTTGAGAAGAAAAACCCGAGTATCGTACTGTAATATCAAAGCTGGACAACAGGGAGCAGCACTGACGTTATTAACCCACATCCTCTGTCTAATCTTTGTAAGATTAAATTCATTTTCTGTCTGGCCTAATCCCACGCTTCTCCCCTCCAATGGCCCAGAAAGCTTTCAGCAAATCCAACCGCTCACAACAACTGCAAATGCAACATTTGGCACACAATAGCATTACTGACAATAAGAAAACCCCACAAATATCTGCAACACGAACACAAACGTGACTTAACTACAATGTACGTATGACCAGCTAATGTGTACAACCAAGGACAGGATAAATCACATAAAGTAAAAAAAAATAAAAAACAAGACCAAGGACGTTATTTCTATAGTCTATAGTTTTGCAGTTGTGCCCTGAGATTTTAATATATGTGTTTTTGAGATGTTAATGAATGTATTTATTATTATTCTGCTGCTATATCTATGGCTGTGAGTTTTTGTCCTTCCCACCCTGGTGACCTTAGCTAATCCTCTCCTGGCAGCTATAGGTTTACATAGGCTTCTAAATGCCTGCACTAAAGTAAAGAAGTGGAGAATGATGTTGCAATTTATTGCAGTACAAAATGATACATTTTAGGGATAGTTTCAGCCTAGTAATTTTTTTTTTTTTTTCAAATTTCAAAACAAGTGTGTACTTTTGGGTTTCTTTATTGTACTGTTCTGTGTTCACAGCATTGAGCATGTTAGCATGAACATGCTAAGCACATATTTGAAAGCAGTATTTTAGGATTTATATTCACTCTCACAAAAAATAAGGAGTATGTATGGGGGTCTAAGTGTCTTTAATGCGCAACAATAATGACATGATGCCTAAAATTATCAAAGTCGTAAAAATACAATGCCATTATATGACCGTAGAATGATTTAAAATTAGGGTCCTTGTGCTGCTTTTAGTGAGCCCAGCTTCTTTCTCAGACAATATATGTGTGTATTTATAATACAACTGACCTTACCTGAATGTGAGGAATTCAGTTTTCTCATATAATAATAATAATACATTTTATTTCATAGGCACCTTTCCGTCACGTGAAGCAGTAGTGTGAAAAATAATCATTAGAATCATTTAAAAATGAACCCACCCAGTCAGTTTTGGAGGGTCAGAGAACGTGTCTGGTCTTGCATACAGCTGGAGCTTCTAGTTTTTAATCACTGCATGTTGTAAATTTTATATATTTTCATCTGCTGCTGCCATTACTGTTTCTGCCCTTGCTGCCTTGGTGAACATAATAAACCTCTTCCTGATAGCTGTAGGTCGACAAATGCTACTGACAGGTAACAATAAATTAAAAAACAAAAACAAACAAAAAAGGTTTCTGTTTACTACAATAAAAAAAAAACCACAACTTCAAGGACATTTCTTTTAGAATTGTTTATTACAATAAAAAAAACAACTTCAAGGACATTTCTTTTAGAATACATATGCAGTTAGTTTCATTATTATGCTATTTTGTGTTGACAGAATCGAGCATGTTAGCGTAAGCGTGCTCAGTACTTATTATATATATAAATTATAAATTAGTATACTTATATAATACTATATAATATAAATTATATAGATTAGTAATATATTTAAGTTCATAGCTGAGTGACTTTAATGCACAACAATAAACATGCATTTTAGATATTTGGTTATTGGTGTGCTAGCATCCAGCCTGCTACTGGTGTTCTAGCCACACACTAAAAGTGAGCAAATTAGCTGAATGTTATTGGTATGCTAATATAAAGCATATTGGCAACGTGCTAGCATCTTCATCTCTGTGTTAACAACATTATATCAGTGTAAGAATAAATCTTCACCAAGGATCGGTCAACCCGTTGTTGCCTATGCCATCGGCCTTGATTAGCGCATTACCTGCAAATACATTACCTGCCACCTACTGGCTCTATTTGGTGAATCTGAATATGATGTGATTTCTTTTTAGAATAAGGTGGACTAGACAGTTAATTATTATTGTTGTTCTTTTCTTTTTTTTTATTGTTGTTGTTTTTCACGTTAAGTTTATTTTTCTTTTTTTTTTAATGGCCTCCTAATATGATGCTGAAATATTTTCATAACACTATTTCATAATTACACTTAGGCGACTCAGCATGAAAGCAGAGCCAGGTGAGCCACAGGATCCCCAGACCGAAGAGATGGAGTCATTTTCCGAAGCTACTACCCACTCCACACCCAAGCAGGTAAAATCAAAAACAACTTTGAATTTGAACTGCACGATTAATAGACAAACTGTTGACATATTGAACTGCCTCTTCAGGGCAAGAAAGGCAAGCCCGCTCAAATCCATGGCTCACTGGGTGCTGACATGCCCAGTCATCTGTCTTCCAACAGCACCATTGTCCGTTCTCCAGCTAGAAACACACTGAACTTCTGGACAATGCAGGCCAAAGTGACCCTGCTGGACGGCTCTGTCTTCACCTGCACTGTAGAGGTAAGACATGTTAAAACTGGTTACTAGAAACAGGTTGGGCAGATAGACAAGGTAACCCATCTGGGACACGTGGATAGGCAGGAGAAAAGAATTAGACCAGTTAGATATTGTAATCTGGTTGATCTGAAATATAATGTTATATAGTTTCTACAGTGGTGTCATTGGTGTGGAACCCCAGGGTTCACCTCCTGGGCAAGTTTGAATCCCAGTTAGGACGGTTGGTACCTTCTAGTGGACTCACCACCTGCAGGAAGGTTTAGGTACGGTGCAGTGTGATTTGGGTGGCGACTGCTGCCCCTTGCGACCCGGTAACGCAGAAGCGGATGAAAATGGATGGATGGATTGCGAACCGGTAACGGAGAAGCGGATGAAAATGGATGGATGGATGGATGGATATTTTCTACACTGCAGTGTCCTCTCTTTCAAACTTTAGAAATTACATTCAGTACACAATTGCATTGTTAGATGTGTCTGTTTGATGTGGTTATGATTAGTGATGCACTAAAATGTAAATTCCTGGCCGAAACTGAAAATGAGAAAACCAAGGCCAAAAACAAGACCAAAACCGAAACACAAATAACATAAATTATTATGCTAATTATTAGTACCATTGCATTTATGGCTACGACTGTGAACCTGTAAACCTCATTAAAATCAATTGCACTGCAATTGCATAAATTACTAATAAATTAATAATTCTCAAAAAAATTAGGTAATTGTCAAATGTCCATCCATCCATCCATTTTCATCCGCTTATCCGTTACCGGGTCGCGGGGGCAGCAGTCTCCACCCAAATCACACTGCACCGTACCAACCCCCCTGAACCTTCCTGCAGGTGGTGAGTCCACTGGAAGGTACCAACCACCCTAACTGGGATTCAAACTTGCCCAGGAGGTGAACCCTGGGGTTCCACACCAATGACAGAGACATTGCCTCTGGGCCAAAGCGCCACAATTGTCAAATGTCTAGCAGAGAAATAAAATCACTTGATAGTCACATAGGAAGTCATAACAGAATAGCCGAGGGAACTCTCTTGCAGGATCTCACAAAACATATCATACCCTTGCCCCTCCCCTGGCACACTGCTCTCCTTCTCCGCTGCGCTGTGAGCTTCTCCGTCTCCAAGCGGGTTCTCCAAGTCCATCGTTTCTCGTGCGCGCTGCTTTAATCACGCATCCAAGTACTGATCTTTATGACGCGATTCAAGTACAGCGGCGACAAGTGCAGAGGATCCGAATAGAGCCCACTGCCCTCTTGAAATTTCAGCATTACACGTTTTGCAAATCGCTATCTGTGGGTCTTTCTCAGATGTATTGAAATACGTCCACACTGTAGATATTCCGACAAGCCCATGCTGGCCATGGTTTTTGCTTGCGTCATTATAACTTACTGTTATGGATGTTATGTGGTTTTGGTGATAAAAGTTTTTCGGCTAAAAAAACAAAAATGCACTTCTGAAAATTTTCGGTGGCCAAAAATTCGGTGCATCCCAAACTATGATGCTGTTTTTTTTCTTTTTTTATGACTCATTTTTTCCGCAGGCTTTAAAAAAGTATTAAAAGTTGATGAACAAACTTGGAAAAATAAAGGCCCCTAAAAAGTGTTAAAAAGTCAATAAAATCGTGAATTTCTGATTCATTTCTGTTTTTATGTTCAAGCTTTGTCCAAACAATTCCACTGCAAAAAGTTTGCATGAATGTATTTATTTAATTTCCTGCGACTATTAAAAATAACAACTACACGCTCAGCTTTCTGGGTTGCGCCGGAAGCCTTGACCTGAGGTTCCCCATCTCACAACAGTGAACGCTCCAGTGTTGTGAGATGGGTAACCTCAGGTCATGGCTGAGAAAAAAAAAAAATGTTAAAGATGCCTGATTTGAATTTGATGACCAAAGGTCATGTTTTTGGAAGATCTTAAAAAGTCTTCAAATGCTATTTAAAAATCTACTTGTACTCTGTGTGCACAACAGAAATGTGTGAGGTCGTCACTGTCATTCTCTTTGTGTGTGTCGATTCAGAAACGAGCACGTGGTTTTCAGCTGTTTGAAAAAGTCTGTGAACATTTGAATCTGCTGGAGAGAGACTATTTTGGTCTTTCTTTCAGAGACGCGGACAACAACAAGGTCAGTTGATTTTCTTTTTTTTTTCTCTCTCTCTGTCTGCATGTCTGTCTGTATATCTAAATGACACCAATCGTCCTGTCATGTTGTTGGTCGTTCTCACAGTCTCACATAATTCACAGTCTCCTGGAGTGATGAAGAGATAAAAGAAGGCTAAATATGGTCAACTGGTGGAGGGTTACTGTAAACCAGGGGTCTCAAACTCAATGGAAAAATAAAGGCCCCTAAAAAGTGTTAAAAAGTCAATAAAATCGTGAATTTCTGATTCATTTCTGTTTTTATGTTCAAGCTTTGTCCAAACAATTCCACTGCAAAAAGTTTGCATGAATGTATTTATTTAATTTCCTGCGACTATTAAAAATAACAACTACACGCTCAGCTTTCTGGGTTGCGCCGGAAGCCTTGACCTGAGGTTACCCATCTCACAACAACCGAGCGTTCCCTGTTGTGGGATGGGTA